CGCTAGTCTGAGGCTCCCGGCGCCGTCCCGACGTCGTTCGATACGATGCCAACGCACTGTGTCAGGTTTGGGTGTCGGAACTGGCATCGGAAAGGGGGGGGGGGGGGGGGGGGGGGAAGCTTCTTTTGCTTTCCCTCTGAGAAATTTGATCCCAATCGAAGAGCGGCGTGGGTCCACGCGGTGAAGCCGGCTCACCCGACAGGCCCGAGGAAGACTTGGGAGCCGAATCAGCAGTCCTGATTATGCGGAGCGCACTTCGTCACTGGTAACTCGCTTTGATTGCAGCTGAGAAAAACAAAGACAAAGCGTTTAGCAGTTACATGATCGTTACATTGCCGCTCTATTAAGCAGGAAAACCATCGCTCAAATGGCACCACCCGGACTATGTGCCGACTCTGTTCGCTCACCGGAAACAGCGGCCATCTCTCGGTCGCTACGAACGATGGAAAAATCGCGCGTCCACTGATGGTACGAAGTGACGATGGTCATAAAGGCGCGTTCACACTGTGTATTTTTACTCGCGATATGAATTCGCCGTCTGAACGGGACGGGAAAAAGACGTGTGTCTTCTAACAGGGATCCGCGCGTTCATCGTTTCTGGAGCGATCTTTTCTAATGCCAGTTCTTGGAAACCTATGCCCGCCGACGTTTGTGTTGTGTTCGCGCTTACTAACTCCTCTTCCTGACGACGGTTGATGTGTATTGACTGGACTTTATAATCGTGCGCATATAGAAGCGCGAAATCTAGCTGTATAACAGTCAGTGCACCAAGTCGCCATTTTACATGACCAACTCATCTGTAATCACGAGCTGGTAGTATCATTCAGCATGTTCTGGTTTGTGTGTGGGTCCTCGCTCGTCAACCTCAAACAAGCATATCCTTGCGCGTTTAATTTTCCAGTAAGTCCAAGTGGCCTGTACCAAACTCTGAGAACGTGGGCCAATCGCCGTAATCACTCTGGAGCCTTGCTTATTTCGCCACTGATATTGTATGTCATCTTCAAACAACGAACAAGTACGAAGTGCTGGTTCTGCGCGCGTGCAGCAGGGGGCATCACAGACGGCAGCCTAGCCTTCTGCAGCAGCAGTACCCTCCTTGGCCCTTGCGAGGGAGCCCCCAGTTGCCGACCCCCTTACAGAAAGTTCCGGCAGCAACCCAGCCCCGTGCTCGATCTCAACGGGTATTTCGAACGTAGAGCCACTGCCCGAAGGTAAGGATTGACTACTAACTCAGTTGTTCCTACTAAATTATTATTATTAGACCCGGGGCTTATTCCCTTGTTTTCTTGAGATCGTGTTCCCTGGGCCCAGTGAAAGAATGTAAGGTGACACACCATCCTGAGATGATGCCGACAGAGCACCAGACCATGCGGAGGACAGAAATCCTGCCACATTCTACTTCTACAATTTTTTTGTTTTTAGGAAACGATATAATTTTATATCTGTTTTCACGTCAAGAACCGTAGTAAAAAAAAGTCCGCCTCCTCGTGGAGCATTACTAATTTCCACCTTTATGTGGAGAATTAGGATATATGTGGGTGCATTCTAGATTAGATGTGTGTTATCTTATCACGACGCATACGTACCAAACTCCAAAAGCATCGCTTTTCCCTCCGATAACTAAGTCTTGTAAGAACTACTTTGCCCCGCGTATGAACAATGCGCAAAACTTGCTTTTCTCTTGAGGTGAAAACAGATGTAGTTGCGACACACTTAAAAAGAGAAACGATTTAGACATTGCATGAGTGAAGTAAGCGTTCAAGAATGCAAAGACTTGTAGTGACCGCTTACGAAGAGAAGAAAGAGGAGCGGTCACGCGATCTCTGTTTTCGAGTCCCGTGACCGCTCCTCTTTCTTCTCTTCGTAAGCGGTCACTACAAACTAATCATTTCGCATCACTGAAGTAGAAAAGTACAAACAAAAATACAACTGTTTGGACGCTTCTTTAAATGCTATACACCATTAGTGCAGACGGGCACGAACAAAACACGTCGGCAAGAATGTTTCCCTTCTAAGTGCTGTTTTGTTGTTGTTGCACCAAATAGCTCGTCTCTTCGAGGACGTGTTGGTGCACCATTCGGACATGCGTCTAGACCTCTGCAACCACAATAGCACTTCACATGCACAATGAATTTTCACTCTGTCGGCCACGCCACGCCACGCCAACGTTGATCTCCGGCACTCTGCTTGCCAGCGGGTCGCGGCTGCCGGGCATACACGTGATTGCTCTCTTCTTGGAAAGTGATTGGTCGCTTCTTTCGGTCGCTCGCAACGCAGCATAGAAGTTCGACCCGATCCTACTCGCTGTGTTGGAAACGACCGGGTCCTTGGTGCTCCGTAGCTATGACAACTCGTCGTTGCAACTGGTTGTAACATTGTTGCAGTTCTGGCTACCCCAAACGCAGATGCGTGAACGGGCCTTTTGTCCTCTACGCTCATTGGTTCAAGAAACAGGCATGTGACCACGACTTCACTGTTTGTCTTTTGACTTGTCAGCTGGCCCACTGCCTTTGACTGATATGATTATATCAAGTTGCCATAATCACACTCCAGCCTTGCTTGTTTTGTCACTAAAATGTTATGTCCTCCTTGAACAACAATCCAGCCCCAAGGAGTGTTGCTGTCTCGACCTGTGTGCAGCAGGTAGCTGCACAGCTGGCAAGTGACCTCATTTTGGAGATGCCTGAAGAGGGGGTGGAAGACCCATGCACACAAGACTCCATAAAATGTATTAATTTAATTGTTTGGCTCGATTGTTCGGACCTCGAGGTCTACAAAGGCACTGAAAAATAAACTAGAATTCCCAAAAAGATTAGATCATAGGCAGCTGTGTCATTACAACAAATATTGACTCATGGGACTGAGAGCTGCTGCTACACACCAGCATGTGTACTAGATGCCTACTGTGATACCATGAAGGAAATTTGTGATTTAGATTATTATAGCCCTTTATTTACATTTTTGAACTAAGGAGTTAGCTTAACGCTACTTAGGACATCAGAAAGAAGTTTGCTTTCTTTAGTTGTTATATGCGACAAGATTTCTTACGACTCCCCCCCCCCCTGTTCTCTCAGTAAAATTATGTAAGTCTATAACAAAGAATGACTGTGTATGTGCAGGATTAATTAAAGAAGATACAGTATATGCACCCATCTCCACTAGCTCCCAGTTATGGGCTTGATGCTGTCCCCCTGTGCAATGTGCTACTGGATTGCATAGATGACAATGTTTCTGCTGCAGTACATAAGTCACGCATCTGACGCGGAGTGAATGCATGACGTATGTACGAGCCCCCTGCACTTCATCACGAAAATACACGTTTGCAAGTCCGGTCTCAGGGAGCCACCATCTTGCTCAGTGCGGTGCGCTTGGGCGTGGCTATAATCCGATTACGGTGCCTTAGCAAGGCTTTGTAATCAGATTATGACGCGTCCAAGCGCACCTCAGCCGAGCAAGATGGCAGCGCCCTGAAGCCGGACTTGCAAACGTATATATAAGCTCTCCACAGGGGTACCAGTTAAAGCTACCCACTCCCGCTCGTACTATTGCAGGTTAGTCATTGCGAGGGTAAGGTATAGTTTAGGCACGCTTTGCCTTCCGTTTGGCACCAGCAAAAATTTTAGTGTACTTTGAGCTTACTAGTAAATTCAGATGACACAATGTGCAGTGTATTACCCATGAATTGAACAAGTCTAGCAATCCTTAGTAGACCCAGTGCACATGTGTCATCCGACTTTACCTGTAGGGTCGAGGCAAGGGCAAACCCTCCTCCACCACCCCACATTGGAGCACCAGATGCAAAGGCAGATGTGCACCCATGCACCAGCGTGATTGGTACATTTGCTTCTACACACTTCCGTCACACTTGCTGGAAGTTGAAAGTATTCCTGTTGGCCTCATTGCAGAATGGGATGAACTGAAGAGAATCATTGTTTTTGTTTTTAGTGTTTAACTAAGGAAAGGGAAACATGGCGGACTCATTCTGCTATGCCGTGGGCTAAGTAAGGAAATGAGATACTTAAAGAAGACAGTTGAGTTCATTACTTGGTGTTCTCAACAGACAAGGAACACCACACCGATTTGTAAAGCAAGCCACACCAAATCAACCATTGTAAATAAAGAAAGAAGAGGGCAAGAAGAAGAAGGGGGTGACTCAACTCAGATACAATAAAAGCCGCTGACTTGGTAAGGCCCCCTGGCAATGGTTTCGCTAGTAGACTTTTATTTACAAAAAGAAAAAAATATATTGGTTACAATGCTAATGCTGGATCAGACTGAGGCACATTATTTTTTATTATTTTCCTTGCCTCGCCTCATATCTTTGGTATCATGGGAAAATTAGATTATGGGAAAATAAGCGCCAAAAAAACACGGACAAAGAGTAGATTGACAACGACACAGGGCGCTAAAATTAGATTATTTATATCTTCTAATTGATGCCACATAATTTTCAGCATAGTAGGCAAAGACGCAACCTGATTATTTATCTAGATTCAGTAGAGTAGGACTAATTGCAAAGAGCTGAATGCGGTGCCCGAAATTCTACTAATGAGGAATAGGGCAACATCACTTAGCATAACATTCATATATCTATGTGTGCTTCCTTTACAGAAATGGAAAAGGATGCCGCTGTCGGGCCTAACCGTGATAGTTGGAAATCCTGAGGCCTCCAAGCTGCGTGACCTGCAGATTGCGAAAATTCAGCAGGTCATTCTTTATCTGCAAGCAGACGAACAACGTCTCGAAATGCAGGCTTGCCACGTGCAAGCCAGGCAGCTTAATCTCAACACTATCCAGGAGCCCAAGGACTGTTTATATTATAACAGGGCTGCCTGAGTTTTCAGTTTTTCAAAATTTGTTTAATTTTCTTGTGCCTCGGGCAGCCGAGATGACCTACTGGCTAGGTAAGGGAAAGACAGCTGGTAAGATCAAAGGCCGCACACGGTAAATGTCTCTGATTGACGAGTTTTTTTGTGGTCCTCGTGCGGTTAAGGACAGGGATGGCAGGCAAGGAACTGGCCCGCAAATTCAACATTTCTGAAGGCCAGGTAAGCAAGGTGTTTGTTACGTGGATCAAGTTGCTCCAGCGACAGTTAAGGGTACTGTTACTGTCTCCGACAGTTGCTGAAATTCAGCCCAGCCTCTCTAACGCCTTCCACAAGTTTTCTAACACGAGGGCTGTCCTTGATGGAACCGAGGTACGTATCCAGAAGCCGTCGTTGTTGCTTGCTCAGAGGCAGACCTCGCCCTACAAACACTACAACACCTACAAAGCGGTTGTTGGATGTACACCTGAAGGGTACATTTGCCATATTTCAGAACTGTGGGGTGGGACTGTGTCAGACATAATTATAGTTGAGGAGAGTGTGCTCATGTATCAGTTGGAGTCAGGTGATGCCATCATGGTAGACAAGGGATTCAAATTTAATAGCCTACCACCTGGAGTGCAAGTGCACATTACGTGTTTCAGGCAGCCGAACGAACCTCAGATGCCGGAGGAAGATGTGGCACACACCAAGCAGGTGGCCAGTGCACGTTTAGTTATTGAACGCGCCATCGGAAGGATTAAGCAATTTCACTTCCTCGATCGACCCTTCCCCATTTCCATGATAGATATTGAAGATGACGCGTTTCAGGCTTGTTGTTTTTTAAGCAACTTTCGTATGCCGCTCAGCCGTGCCGAGTAGCAGCAGGACACATGTGTCGGCTTCCGCAGCAAACTTCAGCTTGATAACATTTTAGAATAATTTCTTCTTGTGGTTGAACTCCAGGGTTCTGTTTTTAAATGCAGCATGTCGCAGATGGTTTTCAGGTACTCTAAAGGGACCACAGAAATCACTTTCTTAAAGTGGTCTTCAAAAGGAGCCATACAACAATATTCGTTTGAAATGTTTTCACTTTACACGAGCTTACTGGCACTAGTGGGACCCAAGTATACCATTACGCAACGCCACTGACGAAAAACCTCCCTGGTTGTGGTGGCAATTCAAGAACAAAAGCGAGCGTTTTCTTTCAATATCTCCTTCACAAGACTTGATGATGTAGCTGCGAATCGCAGAATCCCCAGTGACAATATTTAAAGGCAGCTCGTAGAAAAAACAAGTTTGGCTGTTTATACGGCCTAGAACTTAGTCTGCCAGAACATGGCGACATTCTTACCTACTGTAGATAAGCAGTTTATCTAGTGCAGTACGGCTGCTAGCCTTGGGTCTTTAACGTGCACCATGCAGTAGGGATACACAACCGCACCGGCACAACCCTATTGAAAATATTTCTAAAGGGACCGTCAGGCTTGAAGGATTATGGGACCTCACAGGCCTTCAAAACCCTTCAAAAATACCCTTCAGAAAAACCCTTCACGGATACCCCATAGAAAAAGCCTTTAGCCCCACAACCCTTCAACCCGTCAGACCCTTTACCCCATCAACCCTCTAGACGCCCGAATGACTGTGAACCATGGAAAAAAATGCAGTTCAAAAGAATATTGAATATTTATTGCAGGCATTTAGTTTTACATGCTTATTATATCTCAAAAAGTGATAAAAAGCAACGCTTGTTCAAACCGGGCGCGAGATGCTGTAGACGAAAGAGATCACATCAAATAGGGACAACTGACTTCTTTATCACAAAGAAAAATATCTTTCAAAGTACTCACAATGCCGCTGGGTATATTCCTGATGTACGGTAGTTCAGCTAATAAAACCGAGCAGGTGCACCTCACGGACACCTACACAGTCTCAGTAAGCACGTTTAGCGAAAACCACGAACTCGCAAGCAGCAGCCGCCGCCATTGAGAAATCCCGAGCACAGTCACGGTTTCGTCGATAATGACGTCGCGCCGGCGTCTTCGGCGTATTTTTCGCTCGCTGGATGCTTCTGAAGTCGAACGGACGAAGAGGCGGAAGGAACAAGTCCGGAAAACGGCCGTCATCCACCGTCTCAGGACCCACAGTGGCATAATCCCGGTGCGCAGGCACGACATGCGGTGGGACGCTGACCCCGACTGCGAGGCTTTACAGCGAGTAAGCTGAACACGATGGCGCTCGAGCGGTGCTGAAGGCGGCCAACGCCGAACTGGGGATCACCTGCGGAACCAAGGAAGAAACTTCACTGATCAAAACAGACCAAGGGGCGAGCCCTCAAAGCCATGCATGCTCACCTTCCTGTAGGAAATTGGTCCGCTCCGATCGTCCGCGGCGGCTCGTGGGCTAACCGGAACCGCCCACGAGCAGAAAGAAAATAGCTATACTGGCGGCTGGCCTCCCCCGCTTACACACACCACCCTCTCCCGCCGACCGCTGGCCTGGCTGCCCTGCACCCTCTCCCCATCGCCGGGCGGAGAGAAACTCAGTGTGGATTGCTTTTTGGGGACCGTCCCCCGTCAAGGAGCCGGTTCCCCGAACGAGTCGCTCCCGCGTTCGTCCCTGTACCTGGAAAGCGCGCACTGCTCTCGGCTTTTCTTTTTATTTTTTATTCATGGTTGCACGGATTTCGCCTCGAGAGGGCAAGATTGCGTTCGCCTCAAAACGCCGCTCGGCCAATACCACTCGGCCCGCGGCTCGTCAAATCTCCACATGGGGCGGTCGCCCTCGGTGGCCTCCTTGGCGACCGAACACCCGGGCAGTGACAGACGGGTCCAGGAGCAGTAATAAAATCTGATCGTACACACATACGATCGACATTCTCCAATTACTTATTTTTGTTTTCCCGTAGCGTACAATAAGCAGCTATGTTCTAATTCGGGGAAATGTGTTTTCTCCACCTAAGCCGTTGCCCACAGACATCTGAAGAAGCCTGAAGGTTTTCCCGACCCCATTAGAAAAGTTCTTGACAGGCTTTCAGACATTTCAAGGCGATGTAAAGGGCACTTCAGAAGTTTCAGGAGAGCCTCTGACGGGGCCAGCGAACCCACCAGGGAATATCGGTGCCCCCTTCAAACATCTCGGAAATTCCTGAAGTCCCCTTCACACCCTTTAAAAAAATCCTGAAGTCCCATCAGAGCGATTTTCAATAGGGAATGCTCATCCAGATCGATACTGGCAGGGGTGGGGATTGAACCAAGGATCCCTGGGTTCTTAACTCTCACTGAAGGATATGTTTATAGTCCGTTGCAACTCAAGAAGGTAGGACGAGGGAAAGAAAGGACGTGGAGGAGGAAGGAGGCGGAACGCTGGAAAGAAAAGGGGGAAACCTCAACTGTGTTTCGTCTGCTTCCTCCTCTCAAACCTTCTTTTCCCTCGCCCTACCATCTTGAGTTGCGGTGGACTACAGGAACCCTTGGAGCCAACCCGTAACATGGCTAATTTCAGCTTTGTAATCAACATTTCTTTTTTTAAATGTCAATGAATAGAGTGTAGTGATGCCGCGATGCAATTGTGTTCTAGGGAAGCTCAGACAGGAGGACGTTAGCATGCTACAACGGACAAAGTGTGTCTCCGCTTAAGATGATAAATTTTGCCAGTGCAGTACGACCGCAAGCATATGGTCTCTAACATGCACCATGCAGTAGTATTAACATTAACGCATCCTAGTATGATACTCATAAAAATTGGAAAGGGTGGTAACCGGACCTAGGATCTCCGGGCTCCTGTGACTCGAGCTTTCGCTTTACATGCTTTGTGCTGTGACGTGCTATACTCCATTTCACGATAATTTGGCGAACTATTGAGGCTGCGGCTCCCGTGATCCAATAAGAGCGTCGGAGCAAGTCACATGATAACACTTCATGTTTGAGGCCACCGAGGCCTCGTTACCGCCACAGTAACAGCGCCGTCCGCAAAAAAAGAGTAATTCAATCTTTCATTTCTTTTTTTTGTGCTAACTGAACTTGAGTTATTCCATCTTGATTGAGAATATATAAAAAGAATGAATGAAAAAATATTGACAAATTTTAATGATATCTAAACCAAACAAGTAACGCGACATTCAGTTCCAGTTCGATTTTTTTTTCTTCTTGTAGTGCCATGGCCGTTGGTGATCGCAGCCGTGTAATCAACCGCTTTCACATACAGGGCAATTATGGTCGAAAACTAGACCGAAATAAATTACTGGTACCGCTTTAGTGGCACAAATCTTGGCCTGCAGACAACAGCCGGTTCCTTGGTGCAGTGACACACACGCTCCCGCTATGTGGTGTCACGTGCCTCGCTCCGACGCCCTTATTGGGTCGCGGGGGCTGTAAGCTCCACAGTTCGCCAAGTTATTATAAAACGAAGTGTACCACTCTTAGTCACCCCCTCCCCCCCCCAGCGCCTGCCATGATTGTCCTTAATCACATTTGACTGTGATCCGCAAATGGCATATGAGTTTAGATTAGATATATACCAAGGTATTTGATGTCCTCGTTTAATTATTTCATGTGTGGTCTGTGGTCTCAATGTCTGGTGGGCTCTGCATTTTTTGTATGATTATGCATCTTGCCAGTATGTGTTAGGAGTGCAACAATTATTATGACTATAGCTGCTTTGTATGGTGTCGATCTAAAATTCACTGTTTTTTTTATGCAGTTCGGGCTATTGCTGCCTCATATTTAGTGTGTCGAGTTGGGTCATGTTGTGCATCAATTTTTATTTAAATCTTCTATGTGGGAAGTACATGAATAACTAATGTGAATTATCTGTTGTGCATCAGTGTTCACATTTATGATTCTAGCATCATTGTACAGCGTTATCTCGAACTCGCTCTTTGGCTTTTGTTTAGTATGCAGTTCGGGTAATTACTGCCTCAGAGTTTTAGTGTTCAGCTGGGTTATGTCAGTAGCTTCCTTATTTGAAAAGCTTTAATGCATCAATTTTTAGTGTTTGAATATTTTACTTGGGAAGTACATGAGTAACTAGTCCGAATTCTCTGTTTTGCATTAATAGCGAGATTAAAGTTAGAATAAGCCAACGAAGTTATGACTGCCAGGGTCTTTTTCCCACAACGTGGCAAAGTCGATTGTAATGTTAACAACTTTCACACCCTACCTCAATAAATCTCGTGTGTCATACGTTGTTACTACAACTTCGAGCAAGAGAAACCTTTTGTTGTTGTTGTTTTTTTACTCTGAACAGTTTAAGGAAGGAACCAGCTAGCTCTGCTTGTTTATGTTTATAGGCAAATGGCTTTCTATTTATCGTAATAAACTGTACAAATGTAAACCGCCACAGACTGTGTCCTGTTTTCTGCAGTAAACACCATTTTCAAAGACACGGGAGTGGCTACAAAAACATTGTCCCCGATAAGCATATTTATTTGGCTCTGAAAAGAGCCGTTGTGACTTGGAGAAGCCTCAGGCTTCATGCAGGCGCTTCTTCACTCCAGTCAACGCAGTATCTTTTTCAGTCCGGGACAATCCTCCACCACATAAAACCCTTTGCAGTACTGCTTAAAGGAGACATACTTACCGCGAGCTATGAGGGCTCTTCGACGCCTCACATGACCTGTTACCACTTCTGGGAAGAGGGCGTGCTTGGCGAAGTAGATAAGCCCTGGCAGCAGTACCCCATCAACAAACTTATTGTCGAAGGTTATGCTCTCAACGTGTGTTGAGTTGGCAACAGTCTTGTTATTAGTTCAAGAAACAAAATGGCACCACTAGTGTCCGGTCACCGCCATCTTCCCTTGCACCTGTAGGCAAGATTCTTCTTAAGGCGTACCAAGCCATCTAGGACCTTGCAGCAGAACTTCTTGTCCTTGCATGCCTCGA